CCAATATCACCCAAGATATTATGGATACATTAGATTTCAAAATTATTTTCTACTGTTATAGGGGTAGTTTCAATTAATGTCAGATAGCAAGCTAGTAATTAGTCCCAGTAATTCTCACTGAGAGGTGCTCATAGGCTTTCCCCTTTAAGTTCAAATCTGCATTCCACCCAGGGTTATTGTATAGAGAATTCATCCATACTAGTTCATATACTGATTGATATTAAAGGCCTGTGTGAACTTGAGTAATCGTATTTATTCCCATTTTGCATTCCCAATTAATATTGCTTAAAGGGTGGGTTTACATGCCTTCTGTTTCATATTACTTGTTAGAGGAAACACTCTCCAACCAGATGTAATATCAATCCCTGTGATACATCCTGGTAAATGAGATACAGCTACTTAACATAAAGCTTGTTGAGGGCTAGGCATGGTGAGTCACGCCTGTAATCCCAGTACTTTGAGAAGCTGAGGCAGGTGGATCACCTGAGGTCAGGAATTAGAGACCAGCCTGGCCAACATGGCAAAACCCCATCTCTACTAAAAATACAAAAAAATTAGCTGGCTACTGAGGAAGGTGAGGCAGGAGAATTGCTTGAACCCTGGAGGCAGAAGTTGCAGTGAGCTGAGATTGTGCCACTGCACTCCATCCTAGTCAACAAGAGCAAACATTTCTTCTAAAAAAGAAAACAAAGCTTGTTTAAACTACCAATTTTCATCCAAACTTTTGCCTTAATTTCATTAAGTCTTGCATTTCTATATCCTTTCAATCTAGTTGTGACTCCTGTTAGGACTTTTCTTTTCTTTAAGAGTCTCACTCTGTTGCAGGCTGGACTGCAGTGGCACAATCTTGGCTCACTGCAATCTCCACCTCCCAGGTTCAAGTGATTCTCCTGCTTCAGCCTCCCAAGTAGCTAGGATTACAGGCGTGCACCACCACACCCAGTTATTTTTTTGTATTTTTAGGAGAGATGGGGTTTCACCATGTTGGGCAGGCTGTTCTCAAACTCCTAACTTCAAGTAATCCATCCACCTTGGCCTCCCAAAGTGCTGGGATTACAGATGTGAGCTACCACACCCATCCCCATTGGGACTTTCAGTAGTAGGTAGGGGAAGTGTTCCAGTCAGACATAATATCTATTCCCATGAAACATTCAAGTAAAGGATACAGCCTCTTCACATAAAGTCTGTTTAAACTCTCCAGTTTTCATTCAAACTTTCACCTTAATTCTATCAATGCTTGCACTTCTGTACTCTCAATTTAATTGTAGTCTTCTTTAGGGCATCACCAGGGCGTTTGGGACCAAAGTACATGGCACTTTTGTGTCAAGGTGTCCTCGAGTCTTCTCCTCACCACACCCTGATCATTTTGCCCATTCGTGTGCTTAAAGTGTTGGGTCCCCAGCTCATAACTGAGCCAAGGAATTCAGGCCTTTTCCTAAGTCTTTTTCTTGATTAAATTGGTAGACTGTTGCTCCAGGTAATGGAAGGTCAAGCTTCTTGTTGCCATCTTTGCCTTGCTGCTTTCCAAATTCTTCCAAACTAAGATGAATAAAGCAGATTTACTTAGTGTTCTTAAATGTTGGGACACTAGCAGGAGCCCCCGCATTAGTCCACCTAGCACTGTGTTTTGACCCCAGACTTCTACCCTGCTGTGGTAAGTCCCTTAACTCTCCCATTTCTCTTTCTCTTTCATTTTACCCGCATCATTGTTTGCTTTTTCACTCCATTTCTTTAAAAAAACAAAAACTTTTGTTTTAGGTTCAGGTTACATGTACAAGTTTGTTACATAGGTAAACTTGTTACATACGGGTTTGTTGTACAGATTATTTCATCACCTAGTTACTAAGCCTAGTACCTAATAATTATTTTTTCTGATTTGCTCCATCCTGCCACTCTTCACCCTCAAGGCCCCAGTCTCTGTTTCCCTCTTTGTGTCCATGAGTTCTCATCATTTAGCTCCCACTTGTAAGTAAGAGCATATGGTATTTGGTTTTCTGTTTCTGCATTAGTTTGCTAAGGATAATGGCCTCCAGTTCCATCTACATTCACACAGAGGACATGATCTCATTCTTTTTTATGGCTGTATAGTATTCTGTGGTGTATATGTACAACATTTTCTTTTTCCAGTCTGTCACTGCTGGGCATTTAGGTTGACTCCATGTATTTGCCATTGTGAATAGGTGTTGCAGTGCACATTCCCATGCATGTGTCTTTATGGTAGAATGATTTCTATTCCTCTGGGTATATACCCAGTAATGGAATTGCTGGGTTGAATGGTAGTTCTGTTTTTAGCTCTTTGAGGAATTGCCACACTCCTTGCCACAATGATTGAACTAATTTACACTCCCACCAACAGTGTAAAACCATTCCTTTTTCTCCACAACTTACCAGCATCTGTTGTTTTTTGACTTTTTACTAATAGCCATTCTGACTGGTGTGAGATGGTATCTCATTGTGGTTTTAATTTGTATTTCTCTAATGATAATTGAATTGTGCTTTTATGCACATGCTTGTTGGCCACATGTATGTCTTCTTTTAAGTGGCTTTTCATGCCCTTTGCCTACTTTTTAATGTTTTTTTCCTGTAATTTAAGTTCCTTGTAGATGCTAGATATTTGACTTTTGTCAGATATACAGTTTGCAGAAATTTTCTCCTATTCTCTAGGTTGTCTGTTTACTCTGTTGATAGTTTCTTTTGCTGTGACGAAGGTCTTTAATTAGATTCCATTTGTCAATTTTTACTATTGTTGAGATTGCTTTTGGCATCTTTGTCATGAAATCTTTTCTTGTTCCCATGTTCAGAATGGTATTGCCTAAGTTGAGTTTTTATAGTTTTGTTTGCTCTATTTCTTAATAACTGTTTAAAGATTTTTTTTCCCAGTTTGGGTGAATTTCTAGACATCTCCCTCTTTCTATCTCCATTGTCTTAGGAATTATTTTAGTATATTTCAAGATTTGTTTCAGCATGACTTTTTCCTTTGAAAATGACTCTGAGGCTAGTGCCTGTTCTTGAACTGGCAAGAATCAATATCTTTCCCAACACATTCATTCCTTCAGTAGGGGCCCTGAGACTAGAGGCCATAATTTAGACTGGCCAGAATTTATATTTGGTTAATCTCTTCCTTTCATTTTTAGCTATTAGAGATAGCAATAATCAAGAGATTGTGTATTTATCTTTTTTCTTATGACTTTCCATTTTCCTATGCATTTAGTGAGCCAGTTCCCCACAAGATGTATGCATCATCTTAAATTCCATGGGTAACTTTTACCTCCAATAACTGATTGCAACATAGCTGATGTTTCATATCATGGGTGACCCCGTGGCCATTGAGGAATCAGAAGTTCTTCATCCTCTACCCTTTCATCCTTTCTCTTTCCAAACCAAATCCTTCAATAACCTAATACCAACTATTACATTTTCATCTCAACTGGGTTTACTGCATTTCGTTTCTACACTAGCTGGAACTAGTGCAGACACCAAAGCTTAAGACTGCGCCTACTCCAGATGCTAGCTACAAATCTAAGACTCCCCCAACCCCACTGTAGCTGCCTACTTTTCTGACCAACCAGCTACAAAGTCAGGGATTCCTACAACTCCTTCAAGTTTGATAATTCACTAAAATGACTCAAAGAACTCAGGAAAGCTATACTTAATTACAGTTTTATTATAAAGGATGGACACAGAGTTTCTGTGTCCTCTTGTCTCAGGACACATCATCTTCCCAGTTCATCACTGTGTTCACTAATCAGGAAGCTCCACTGAGCTTTGGCATTCAGAATTTTTATGGGGTTTTGTTACATTAACATGATTAATTAAATCATTGGCCACCTGATGAACTGTCTCCAGCCTGCTTCCCATCTCCAGAGACTGGGAACCTGAAAGTTCAGACCATCAAACCACATACTTGATCTGATTATCAGCTCCTATCCTGAAGCTGTATAGGGGCCCACCAAGAGTCTCTTCACTAGCAATAATAAAGATGCTCTAATCAGGAAATTCTAAGGGTTTTTGAAGCTCCAGGACAGAGACCAGGTAAATTATTGATTATACCAGAGTAACATATTAATAACAGAAAACTGAGCAGCACATATAACACATTGCCTGGCATTATAATAGGCATTCAACATGTTTTTCCTTTGTGGAATATGGTTGTCTATTGTTGGGACTTAGAAACCAGTACCCCAAAATATGGTTCTTTGGCATACTATGCTGAAGTTCCTTTATCTGCCTCAACTTCGGACCCACCAAATTACCTCTGGTCCCTTCCCTGAGTTTTCATTAACAAAACTCATATTGCAGGAAGAAATACAGAAGGCTGTCAACACACCTGGGCAGACATTTGTCACAAACCATTGTGTGCTCTTGTGTGCCCAACAGACTTTGTATGTTCTTCCTGCCCACTGAATTCCCCTAGAAATCATTTACTACTCCTTCTAAAATCATCCACATTCCCCATCTCCATTTCCCTTAAGAGGGGAAGAAGGGGCTTTTAACCATCTGCACCCCATTGTATGGTAGAGTAATCACTCTATGATCCTCCCTCATGTAAGTTAATAAATATGTATGCCATTTATCCTATTAATCTGCCTTTTGTGAGTTGGTTTTCAGCTAACCTCCAAAGGACAAAGAGGAAGTTTTTCTTTGGCGTGTATACTATGGTGTTACAGTAGTTTATATCAAAGTTATCAGAATTATAAATTACTTTCACATTTGGACTTGCCATGGTTGAGCCTATGGAGCATTGATGCCATGCCATTAATAAAAATTCTAATTAAAGAATGTGTTTTAGGAAGAAGTATTCCGTTTTATTGTTTTCATAAGAAATGTGACCACATTAATAAATTAAAATTGGATGCTGCTGCTCTTCTGTGCTGAATTATTTAACTCTCTGTGGTCTAGAGAGTTAAATAATTTCTCATAAGTCTTATAATAGTTTTGCCAAATTTTACTAGTAAAAATTTTAATATGACACATTAATTCATGTTCTACTTTTTTTCAAGTAATCTTCCTCTTTGAGGCGTCAACTGGAAAACCATTAGGTGATGGGAAGTTTCTTTCTCATAAGGTAATGGACATTAACTACTTCTAATGTAAATAGCCACTATTTATTTACTTCCTTTTTAAGATTAACGTTTTCAATTTAAAGAGGACACAAAGGAATTAGTTTTATATTTAAATCACTGTGAATTCTCCATTGACTATTCTGCCTAAAAATGTCACAAAGACCTTAGTCTATATATGCAAATTAATTGAATAAAAGGATCTGACTTATATGTCTATTGTCAAGCTCTTCACTGTTTTTCAGTTACGTGTTCTATTTAGATTAAAATGTTAGCACTTATCAGTAAATAAAAATGTATTTGTGTTTCTGAATATCCTGCAGTTTTCTCATTGACCTGTTCTTAGCCAGCATTTTTTTTTTTTTTTTTTTGAGACAGAGTTTCACTCTTGTTACCCAGGCTGGAGTGCAATGGTGCGATCTTGGCTCACCGCAACGTCCGCCTCCTGGGTTCAGGCAATTCTCCTGCCTCAGCCTCCTGAGTAGCTGGGATTACAGGCACGCGCCACCATGCCCAGCTAATTTTTTTGGTATTTTTAGTAGAGACGGGGTTTCACCATGTTGACCAGGATGGTCTCGATCTCTTGACCTCGTGATCCACCCGCCTCGGCCTCCCAAAGTGCTGGGATTACAGGCTTGAGCCACTGCGCCCAGCTAGCCAGCATTTTCTGTAGGCTTTAAGACTGTAGTAAGAAATCTATACAAGTACAAAAGACCCTGAATTTTAAGTTGGTTATTGGTTTCTGATTTTTAGCCTTAAAGAAGCATATTACATTGAGTTATCCTTCTAAATTACTGATATATTAGAGTCTAAAGATGCTTTTGTTTTATTAATACTTCTAGTGAAATGTTAATATAATATATATATATATATATATATATATATATATATATTTGTAATTATTAGTTTTTTATTTATTTGTTTGTTTTTGGCAGAGACAGTGTTTTGCCATATTGCCCAGGCTAGTCTCGAACTCCTGAACTCAAGCAATCCACCTGCCTCAGCTCCCCAAAGTGCTAGGATTACAGACATGAGTCACCACACCTGGCCCTAGTTTTAAATTTGAATAACAAATACATTCATATGGTTCAGAAATCAAAAAGCATTAAAAAGTATACAGTGGTAGTCTTCCTGCTATACTATTATTCATCACTATAGTGCCTCTTCACCAAATAAGTAACCGTTGTTATTAATCTCTTATATATTCTTCCAGAGATTTTTAGTGTATGTACCAACAAAACTGATATATGTTCTCTTTCTCCTCTTTTACAAAAATGTAACACACAATTCTATATCACTTTGCTTTTTTCATATAATATTCTCTTTCTGGAGATGGTTCCATATCTATACCTAAAGTGTTTTCTCAACCCTTTTTTCTCCACTGTATGGTATAACATTTTATGGATGTATCAGAATTTAAACTGTTTCCAACCTTTTGCTATGAATATTACAGTATTGGCAAGATGAATTATCTTGCATATACATCTTCTTGTACATGTGCTATTATAACTGTGGGATTTATTCTTGAAATATTGTTGCTGGGTCAAAGGATATGAGAATTTGTAATTTTAATAAATATTTTGAAGTTATCTTTCAAAGAGATTGTATCAGTTTACCTTTGCACTGGTAATATCTGAGGTGCTTATTTCACTACAACCTCTCCATTATTGTCATTTTAAATCAAGACTATGTAAGCAGAGATTTTCCTCTTCAGTAAGATTAAGCATATCAAAAGGAGTAAATTTTTCAGCTTTTCAAGATGCAGTTATTTTTGTTAGTAGGATTGAAAAGAGAGTCAATTAATAAGGTTAAATATTTATTTTAATGTTAATAATGCTTTCTATAACACTTTTCCTAAGTGTAAGAATTTCCTGGATAATTTACCATTTCCTAATTATAAGAATGGAAGTGACTTCTACTTGTCACACTTCACCCAATTACCCAGAACATTGGTACGTAATACAAAGGATTTTTAAATTTTACATTCTATGAAGTAATAGAAAACTCACCCAAACTATTTTATTTTATATCTGGAAGAAACTCATATCTAGGATCTTCCCAAATAGTAACAGAACCCAACTAGAGCTCAAGTCTGTGTATCAGTAAATAAATATTAATTAGTGTAGGGCAAGGGAGACGGTTCTACTGAACACAGAACTGCTTTTATGACCGACTGCAGAGCCACCCAGGAGGAATAGAACATATGGGGGAAGATGGACTTAACAAGAGGAAAATGGGGGATGCCCTGCTGAATGAAGTTGGGGAACCCCTCTTCCCCTACATACATGGGCATTATTATAATTACTATACATCTTTGATTTTTAATTTCTTAGAAGAATCATATCTGTTTAACAGTGTTTTTAAAATAATACAGTAGGTTCTGAGGATGATGACAATGATAAGCAATTCTTTATTGTAAAGATCAGTTTCTCTGAAACATTTCTATTTTGAAAATACCTAGTGTTATATTTCATGCATGCCTTGATATATATGAAACAAAATTATTTTCTTCCTTAAAATATAAATTATTGTATTCTAGAAAGAGTTGAATTTTTTAAAATGTATTTTGAACTGGTGTATGATTGATTAATCATTTTGAATAAAGTTACATGTGTATTTTGTTTTATTTTAAACAATGTTTCTTATACTACATTTTGATACAATGATTTGATGTTGTGGTCATGATTCTTGTTGAATTCACAGTTCCTAGCAAAGTCTTCAGACATTGTAGACAGTAAATAAATCTTTCTTGGTTTGAGTTAAAATAAATCTGTATTAAAACATTTTCAAGTTTTAATAAATCTCATCGTACTAGCAAATGAAAACAAATGATCTTGGAGTTAGAAGTCTGAGTTGCAAGTTTAGATATACTTGATACTGGCTTTTTCTGAGCAAAATCACTTACTGAGTATAAATCTAGTCTTCTGATTTGCAAAGTAAGTATAATAGTATCTATATTACAAGACTTTTCTGTTTTGCAAGAATGAATGTGAGAGAATCTGTAAAATACAAGGCTCTGGACACATGATATATTTCCACATATTTCCAAAATTTAGTTTTAAAAATATTTAAGTTATAGTTATATTAGGCAACTTGTTAATCAAAATAGACCTCTCATACTCAGACTTACCTGCCCCTTTCACCCTGACTGTGAAAGGTAGGACAGAACAGATAGGAGTGTTTCTCAGCCAACAGAGTATCAAAATATATATTATTTTATTGTATTTTGAGAGGTATCTTTTCCTTGGATGTCAGGCAAATATACTTTAGTGCAGCTTTTGAATAATTAATATATTGGCAGTTTAAAATTATTTAACAAGGACATTTTATCATTGTAAGTGTAAGTGACATTTAATTGATCTTAAAAAAGAAAATGTTCTTATCGTTAAATAATTAAAATTATCTTATATCAAACACTAAAACTAACCCAGTATTTACATTTTTAAAAAATTTTAGATGGAAATCTTGGAAATTGCTCTGGATCAAAAAGGACTTACCAATGATAGAAAAATTGCTTTCATTGATAAAAATAGAGATCTCTGTATCACTTCTGTGAAACGATTTGGGAAGGAAGAACAAATTATCAAACTTGGTAAAACAATTTTAATTCATTTTAAGTTTTAATTGTCTACTTTCTTATATTTGCTGTAATAAATAATTTGTTCAAATGAATCTGGAAATGTTTTAATCTTAGCTACTTTTTTTTAACAGCAGGAGTGAAAGTTTATTCAAAAGCTTTATTTTTTATTTTTTATTTTAAGTTTATTTTGTTTGAGACACGGTCTCACTCTGTAACCCATGCTGGAGTGCAATGGCACGATCAGGGCTCACTGTACCTCCCCCTCCTGAGCTCAAGTGATTCTCCTGCCTCAGCCTCCTAAGTAGCTAGGACTACAGGCACGTGATACCACATCCAGCTAATTTTTTTGTATTTTTGGTAGAGACAGGATTTCACCATGTTGCCCAGGCTGGTCTCAAACTCCTGAGCTCAAGCCATCCACCTGCCTCAGTCTCTTAGTGTTAGGATTACAGGTGTCCAATCTATTAAAAAGCTTTAGAGCAGGAAAGAATGGAAATAAAGTAAACTCACAAGAGGGCAGGCAGGCAGGCAATTTGAGAGATCAAGTGCATTGTTTGACCTTTGATTTGTGGTTTTATACTTTGGCATGCTTCTGGGGAGTTGTAACCCTTCTGCCCTAGTTCTTCCCTTGGGGTGGGCTGTCCACATGCACAGTGGCCTGCCAGCATCTGGGAGGGGCCACATGCACAGTGTGTTTACTGAAGTTGTACACATGCTCACTTGAGGCATTTTTTTCTTTACCACTCCAGTGTTCTTAACAAGGTTCATATACCAATTAAACTCCTCCACCGTTTTGCCTGTTAGCGCACATGTGTGAGCCCACTCACCTAGCTCTTGAGATCATATGGAGAAGCACTAATTTCCAGTTTCGATGTTTCTATTGAGAGACTGCCTTTCCCTGGTACTGGCTGTAACCAATTACTATTTTAGAGAGACAGCTTAACAACTACCTGACCATCACTTGATGGTTACCTGACATTCCTGGTGCTAGAGGCGGGGGGGCCTCTCCTGCCTTGCTTAAGTCTGCCTGACTACCTGCTGTAACACTTCCCCCCCCCGTCAAGGGTCCAAGACCCTAATGCTATGGTAAAAATGGAGAAAGGTCAGTCTTCTGTAACTGCTTCCTGCTGACAGAGGGGCAGTAGTGGTTGTTCTGTGGGTCTTAGCCTCCTGCTAGCTCTCAGGGCAGGGTGGCTCCATGGGTTGGTGAAAGCAGTATCCAGCCGGGTCCAAGGGAGAGAAAGGCAGGAGTACACCTCCGTCATGTCCCACTGATGGGCAGACTAGGGGTCCCCTGTAGAAGAGTGACTCTTGAATATTGAGAGGACGGTATCCCTCACTGAGGAGCATCTGGAACTTGATGGTCTGAGGCAAGAGGATTAACTCATCTTAATAGCAAGTTTTTAGCTGCTGCAGTTAAATTGTCACTGAAAGAAAAATTTGCAAATTAAAAATCTAAGAGTTCTAGGTAAAGCATTCAAATATTTCTGTAAATTCTTGTGTGTTTTTTAAATGTTTTTTCACCATTATACAATCAGAAACTAGAGTCATATCTACCAGAAATTATATGGGATTTTGTTTATCAGGCATTTTAAAGATATATTTTAATACTTACATATTAAAACTAATAGCATATTAACATTCTTTTTAAATTAAGGAACAATGGTGCATACCTTGGCATGGAATGATACATGCAATATCCTTTGTGGACTTCAAGATACTCGATTTATAGTGTGGTATTACCCCAATACAGTTTATGTGGACAGAGACATTTTGCCTAAAACATTATATGAAAGGGATGCAAGGTAACATTTTACTGCATATAATTCTGTGTTGTAGTAAATAAAACTCTAATAGAGTATCATGTTTTGCTTCTGTTTTCAATCCTGCAAGGTATTTTTCACATCAGTCAGATTATTGATGAATAAATTGTTCAGCTAAAGCTAGCTTGAGACTTAAGTGACAGAATCAAGTTGATAGTGTTGTATGATATGAATTATATATTTTCCCTCATATGAATATAATTTTCAAGCTTAGTATGGTATAATGGTAGCTCAGGTAGTTTTCTCAGTGTGATTAAGTGATTTTAGTATAGGCACTATTAAGATTTTTCAGGATGTACAAACTTGTGACAACTACCCAATTCTGTCACATATTATCATTGACTTTAACACTTTCAAGAATGTGTATGTCTCTAGAATTGAATTTTTGGTTAATATTAAAAGTAGGAAAAGACCAAAGTTACTGAAATTTTTAAAAAATATATATGCTTCAGAAAATCATTTATATTCCTAAATTCTCTAAGAAATGGCAAGGAGATGTCTTATTCTTGACAAAATAGGCATACCAAGACTTCTTAATTCTAGACCTTAACTTAGTTTTCAAATCTATTTTGAGTTCATTTTTAGTATTAAAGTATACAACCTTAGCAAAACCAGAGAGGCATCGAAATAAAACAGTGTATTTTAAAAAGCATTTGAACTAATGAAAAGAAATTAGTCTCTTTATTTGGAGGTCATCTCTTTTTATTTATTTATTTTTAGAGTCAAGATCTCACTCTGTCGCCCAAGCTGGAATGCAGTGGTGCAGTCATGGCTCACTGCAGCCTGGGCTTAAGTGATCTTCCCAAGTAGTTAGGGCTGCAGGTATGAGCCACTGCACCCGGCTCACCTCTTTTTATTCTAAGAAAATAGTCAGGCCGGGCACGGTGGCTCAAGCCTGTAATCCCAGCACTTTGGGAGGCCGAGGTGGGTGGATCACGAGGTCAAGAGATCAAGACCATCCTGGTCAACATGGTGAAACCCCGTCTCTACTAAAAATACAAAAAAATTAGCTGGGCATGGTGGCGCGTGCCTGTAATCCCAGCTACTCAGGAGGCTGAGGCAGGAGAATTGCCTGAACCCAGGAGGCGGAGGTTGCGGTGAGCCGAGATCACGCCATTGCACTCCAGCCTGGGTAACAAGAGTGAAACTCCATCTCAAAAAAAAAAAAAAAAAAAAGAAAAAGAAAATAGTCTTGGAATTAAGTTTATTTTTTATCAGCTTACTCTTTAATACTTTTAAAAACTAAAGCTATATTAATTATTGTTGCAATTTGTCTTAAGCCTCAGGAAAAAAAAAGGTGACTTCAAATGCTCTTAGGAATAGCTCTCAAATATGTAATAATTTTTGCCAATTTAAGCTGTATATAGCAAGTTATATTCAAATGTTTATATTCAAAGTTAATTCCAGGGAGAATGTATATATTCAAATAAATTTCAATGTATTTATTTGAATATATACATTCTCCCTGGAGTTACCTTCTGGGGGTGTGCCTTTGGAAATTGGAGACTCCATATATGTTTCACAATCCACTCCCCAGATTTAATATACATGAAAAATTTTGCTCAGAATACAACTTTAAAGTGTACTTGGCTTTTTTTTTTTTTTAACAGTGAATTTAGTAAAAATCCCCATATTATGAGTTTTGTTGGAAATCAAGTAACTATTAGAAGAGCTGATGGCTCCCTGGTTCACATCAGCATATCACCATATCCTGCTATTCTCCATGAATATGTAAGCAGTTCAAAATGGGAAGATGCTGTAAGACTTTGTCGCTTTGTTAAGGTAATTTACATTTTAGATTCAAAGTTGCATATATATTGCATAGTAGTTTACCTTTGTGCAAAATGAGTAATGATAATAGGCTTAGAGGCTGGAAAAATTGTCAATAAGATCATGTCCTTTGTTTTATAAGTAAAGATTCTAATTCATTATGTCTGGATTGAGTCCTGGGCATATTTTTTAATTTCCTCAGATGATTGTTTTATACAGCTAAGGTTAAGAATCTCTGCTTTCAATCAGCCTTTTTCCAACTTGGTTGAATCTAGTATTTTTCAAACATGTTTAACCATAGACTTTTTTAAATTGAATATCAGTGAATATTCCTTAGAAAACACTTTTGTGAAATGACTTTCAGATGCTTTTTTTTAACAATGGATCATTGGTGGTAAAGCAGCATCATTTTCTGGGGTAAATACCCTGAGTCCATCATCTCACACCAAGAAAATTGAGGACATGGACATGTGGGTAGGTTAAAAAGTGGAAAGTTTAATTGGCAGAAGAAAGGAGAGAGGAGAGCAACTCTTGCCAGAGAGAGGCAGCCAAAAAGGGAAAAGTGGCAGACTGCAGCAGATTTTATAGGCAGGCAGGCTTGAGGAGGCTGTGTTTGATTTATGTAGTGCTCACAGATTGGTTTGACCAGGTGTGACATTTACATAGCACAGGGAAGGCTGGTCACCCCACCCTAATCTTATTATGCAAATAGACTTTCCACTTGGCCAGCCCCATCTTGTCTACTCCTTACTGTACAAGTGTGGCAAAAAGAGAAGATGGAGCTGCCATTTTGAACATGCCTAGTCCCAGGTAGTATATTGCTATGGGCACAACTATTGGCATTCACCCATGCAAGCTTCCAGTTTGCTTATGTCTGCAGCTCAGTTTTACAGGCTGCTCTTTATTAGAAAAGAAAATGATCTGGGGGCTGCTTTTCATTAAAAGGAAAACCTTATCTAGGACTTCTGTACCCTTACTATAGCATTGTCTGAGAACTTCACTATTTCTTTGGTTCCCTATAAATTACATTCTTTGACACCTCATCAAAAGACTGGAAGGTTTATAACCTTGAGTTATTTTTAATTCAGAAATAAATTCATAATAACCTGAAATTGAAAATTTCATTCAAAAGTTTGTGTTATTAGTATATTTTAACAAAATGGCCACAATGAAATTTTTACATTATTATTTTTCAATGCTGAGCTTAGTAATTTTTCTTTTTTTTAAATTAAAATATAATTTTAATATGAATATTTAAATGATCCTTATTTTAAGGCAGTTCAGCTGTGTAGTTGATAACCGTTCTCATACTTCACTTTAGGAGCAAACCATGTGGGCTTGTCTAGCTGCTATGGCAGTTGCTAATCGAGATATGACTACTGCAGAAATAGGCTATGCAGCAATTGGTGAAGTAAGTAATTAATGTTTACATATATGTATGTGTGTTTTTTCTTAGCATAATTTATTTCTGTTATTATCTACTTCAATATTTTTCTTTTCTTTTTTTAGATTGATAAGGTTCAGTACATCAATTCTATAAAAAATCTTCCATCTAAAGAATCAAAAATGGCCCACATACTACTGTTTAGTGGGAACATACAGGAGGCTGAAATAGTACTTCTTCAGGCTGGCCTTGTTTATCAAGCAATCCAGATCAATATTAATCTCTACAACTGGGAAAGGTAATAAGAATACTTTCCATCAGTTCCAAAATCTGTTTCACCTTAATGTATTTTTCCACCTACCACTTAGTAAATTACATTTTCCACTATATTTTAGTTTTTTAACTCACAGAATAATTTATTCATATTTTTGTTTGTGAATAGTTTGCAGTTTATTTCTTTTCTGAACTTGTGACTGATTAAACGTTGGGGTGTGAAGAAGAGAAGCTAGGATGTTTCCCAAATTTTTGTTTCAGTAACTGGAGAGATCATGCCACCATTTGCAGATTTGGTAGGGAAGACAGCGAATTTCATTTTAGCCAAGTTTACTTTGAAATACTTGCAAAGAGATATAATAGTTGATTAAATGGACCTGGACTCATAAGAAAGATCTGAATTACAGGTTTAGATTTAGAAGTCATTCGCAAATGGATAGTAGTTGAAGTCAGAGGAATGGATGCAATTGCCTTCGGAATGTGTGGAATGGAAAGACATCCTCTACATTATGAGATGGATGAAAGAAAAGAAACACACGAAATGTTATTCCATTAAGCAGCCAGACAGGCAGCAAAAAGAAGAACCAAGAGATGTGTAGTGCTAAGGAAGAAACAGGAAAGGATTGGTCAGCAGCAGTCAACAGCCTTACATTAGGCTCTGGGACAGATTGCTTTCTGAGGCAAAGTGACAAGTTGCTCTTCTCTGTGACATAAAGAGGTTCCTCCCAATCATTCTCTAAGGTACATGTCACTCAGTGAGCAAAACTATAGTTTTTATTTGCTCTTATAGTTTTTATATGCTCTTCAAGTTACTATATTATGAAATTGACATACTTTTCCAGGTTTGAAATGTCTTTCATGATCTTTGTTTCTGCCTGAGCTAAAAAGTATCCCCTGTATTTGTCAATCACAAGGCCCTTTACTTAAACTTCCTTAGATTCGAATTTTTATAGATATTTTATCTCTATCTTTCCCTTGACTAGAAATGACAAAAATGGCGGATGGTTAATTTTATGACTGACATACTGTAGTCTCCTTATTTAATTTATACCTAATGATCTATACTATTCATATAATTTAGCTACTCTGTTTCTGTCCTTTATTAACACAAATTTATTGTTATTGTCTAGCTGTACAAAGGATCATGAAAGGTGTTTTTAATTTTATAAAAATAAATAGGTGCAGTGGCTTATGCCTATAATCCAGCACTTTGGGAGGCCGAGGTGGGCGGATCACAGGAGTTCAAGACTAGCCTGGCCAATATGGTGAAACCCCGTCTCTACTAAAAATACAGAGAAATTAGCCAGGCATGGTGGCACATGCCTGTAATCCTAGCTACTCAAGAGGCTAAGGCAGGAGAATTGCTTGAACCCAGGAGGCACAGGTTGCAGTGAGCCGAGATCACGCCAGTGCACTCCAGCCTGGGTGACAGAGCAAGACTCTGTCTCAAAAATAGATAAATAAATAGGCCATTGTCTTTGTCCTGAATTTATTCATAATTCATAAAGTTTAAGGTAATTAGTTTAGAGAGTGTGATTATTTTTTAAATTCTATGTTAAGTAACTTATATAAAATTGTATATATAATTACCAAGCTAACAGAGTTCTATTGAGAAATAGGGAAGAATTGTGTTTATAGCATTCTTTTGACCAGAGTTTTTGAAAAAATATGTTGAAACTGTAGACCCTACTTTTCATATAGCATTCTGAATACTGTACAATTTAACAAAAAAATTTAAGATAATAGTCTTTATCTTAAAAAGCTTATGATCTAATTGGGAATTCCACTTTATTGTTATTAATAATAGTCAAATGTCAAAATGATGAAGAGTATTGCATACAGAATGAATATTAGCTACCTACTATGTATAGATAATGTAAAATGTTTCTGCTCTTCAGGAAACATGTAATCTGTAAGGGGGAAAGATAACATAAATATCTACAAAGATAAATAATTAGAGACATAAACAGTAATCCAGTAAAAAACAATATGAACAGTGGTACCAGAAGTATGTAATTAACTGCTTCGTGATCATTAATAATCATTTTGCAGCATTCCTTTTTTTAGATTGATAGGATTCAGTACATCAATTCTATAAAAAAAACTTCCATCTAAAGAATCAAAAGTGACCCACTTACTAATGTTTAGTGGGAACATACAAAGGTTGAAATAATATTTCTTCACACTAGCCTCCATTTATTGAGTGGTTATGATGTGCCAGGAATTAATTGTGCTAAATACTTCCTATATATTATTTCATTAGGTTATCTCAGCTCTAGAAGTTTAGCTATTACCAGCCCCATTTTACAAATGAGGAAATTGAGGTTTACTTATAAGTAAGCACAAAATCTAGTATTTGAACCCTCAAGTTGTGTAATATCAAAGAAGAGCTCAATTTATCACCAAGCAATCAGTTGTCTACAGCTGGTACCATTGCTTACATTTTTTTGGTTTGGTTTGGTTTGGTTTGTTTTTTTGAGACGAGGTCTCACTCTGTCACCCAGACTGGAGTGCAGCAGCATGATCTCAGCTCACTGCAATCTCTGCCTCCTGGTTTCAAGGGATTCTTCCACTTCAGCCTCCCGAGTTGCTGGGATTACAGGCTAATTTTTATATTTTTAGTAGAGACGGGGTTTCTTCATGTTGGCGAGGCTAATCTCCAGCTCCTGACCTCAAGCGATCTGCCTACCTTGGCCTCCCAAAGTACTGGGATTACAGGCATGAGCCACTGTGCTCAGTCACACTTAACGTTGTTTTTACTGGATTACTATTTATCTTTTTATCTTTGCAGATGTTATATAGTCTTTCCCCTTACAGATTGTATGCTTCCTGAAGAGCAGAAACATTTCACATTATCTATACATAGTGGGTAGTTAATATTCATGCTCTTACTCTTCATCATTTTGCAGCATTCCTTTTCTTCAAACATTTATTGGATGTAGATGCATGCAGTGAGTGAGTAAATATCACAGAAGAAGATGAGGAAATTTGCCTCTGATGTCCTATCAAATAACCTTCTGAACATTTCTTGTACCTCTTTGACCCAAATGAAACCTACCTTTGCCCGGAGAACACCATTTCTCTACCAGTCCTTTCAAATGGAGTCCATTTACTCTCTCTACTCTACATTCCTTAGGATCCAGTGTCAGTGGAGTTGGTGTCCTTTTTGCTTCCCTCATCTTTATTTCCCTATCTTATAAAATCTCCAGTCCTTTAAGGCTTGTATCATATGTCTCTACTTACTTTTTGCTGAGACCTCAGACTTTTCCTGCTATCTTTATATCCTGTTCCCTGCATGCCCCTCTTCACCTTCCAATTCTCAGTGAGTGATCTTGCCTTGAGATTATTAGATCTCAGGGAGAGGGAAAACAAGAGGATCAAAGAAGATGTAATGAGGAAAGAGAATGAATTCTGGGTGCTCCTCCGTTCTTCTTATCTCCTGGCACTTTCTTTGCCTTTGTTTCTTGCTTTTATCTAACTGTAAGCCAGCGGGTTGGTCAGGTGCTGGTAAAATCTCTGAGTCTAACTGGTAAGATGATAAAGATACCAGAACATTGTTCCTAGATTCTAATAATTATCTATACACTACACTATCCATACACTTAAGACTCCAAAATATACACCTCTCATCTAGCCTTCTGTTCTGCCCATATTTGTTTCCAGAATCAATTCTCCAGCTGCATAGTTAACATTTCCATTAGATATCACACATTTTTTTTAGCTCAAATTTATGTTTATTCTCTCGTAAACCTGGTCCTCTTCCAGACTAGGCTATCTTATCATTCTTTCAGTTGTACAAAGCTGGAAATCTAGAAGTTACTTTTGACATTTTCCTCGCCTTCCCCCTCTCTGTTATCAACCATTTCCCTCCCACATGGCTCTAACACTCAGCCACTCAGCCACTCATCCACTTCACTACCAATACCGTTTTCTAAGTTGATTCAAGTGTTTCTGTTTAATGTCATCACTGATCTCCCTATATCTACTCTGTCTCTTTCCTACTCATTCTTCACTCTGCAGTCATAGTGATCTTTTCACAGTGGAAATCTGATCATATCACTCTTGCCTCTGATTCACTTCAATGAAACCTGCATCAGTGAAATTCATAGTTTCCCATTGCTTTTAGCATAAATATCAAGATTGCATAAGAAAGGACTGTAAATAATAAGGAAAAGTAATTATAGCTGCTAAGAAACCTGCAGGAAACTTATATATTGTCTTCATTTCTAAGTTCTACAGATATTTCTGAAACAGTTTGGAGTATTTGTTCCAACTACACATTCATTCATGCAACAGATGATTGAGTGTAATCCCTTGGTATCCATGAGACAGATAATGACCCTCAGGATACCAAAATCTGGGATGTTCAAGTTCTTTATATAAGATGGCATAGTATTCACATATAACCTATGCACAGGACTTGAGTTTGTTTTTGTACATTAGCTGCATGGAAAGCCCACATTCAATATATGTACAGAACAGAGCTGTACTAGATTTTTTTTTTATAGAGAGTATAAGGTAATGGTTAAGCTAACAATTTGAATTTATTTACCTTTAATTGACTTTCTATATCCAGTTCATAAGGCCCAGTAGGGAGTGGGATATACAAGTGTAATGTTTAGGAGAGATCCTAGGCATTGAAGGACAGCCAGTGAAGGAATTATCAGCCTACAGACAGTAGTTGAAGCCATGAGTATGGCTAAGGTTAATCATGAAAACTTAAGAGAGCAGCAGCAAGCAGATCTCTGCTGAATACCAATATTTAACGATGTGCTTTAAGAAGAGAATTTAGCAGTAGAGATCAGAAGGGAACAAAAAGATGGAATTTAAAAAAAAATGTTTATTATGGAAAATTTCAAACACAAAAGTAGAGAGAATAGGATAACAAATCAGAATGTACCCATCATTCATGTCAACAATTATCAATTTGTGAACAATTTCTACTCTTCCCTACCATCTATTTTAAAGCAGACCCCAATCATCATACCATTTTTTCTGTAAATATTTCAGTATGTATCTCTAAATTTTTTTAAACATAGCCACAATATTATGGTCATACCTTAAAAAGTTAACAGTGATTATATTCAGTGTTCCTATTTCTGTTTCACTCATAAGTGTTCTGCTTTGTTTTACAGTTTGTTTAAATCAGAATCCTGTAAATCCATACATTGTGATTGACTGATATGTTCTTAAATTTATTTTAATCGATAGCTTCTCCTATTCTTTTTTGTGTGTTTTCTTGCAATCTTCCCATTGAAGAAACTGGGCCTATAGAATTTACCATAGTGTGAACATTATTGGATCTTTGGACAAAGATTGCAACTTTGTGGCATACTTTAACATAGTCCTCTGTCCCCTGAATTAGTTGCAAATTGGTTGTTCAATCTAGGAACTTGATTAGATTTAGGTTTTATTTTTGTATGAGACTTCATTATAGTAGTGTTATATGTTTCTGTAATGATTGGCTCTGGTGGTTTTTCATGATTTTTTTTGTGATATTGTTAGCCATTGATGATCATTGCCTAAATCTATTTCTATGGACTTATAAAATGATGATATTCTATCATTCCAGAAGAATGGAATTTGTTAGATGGTAAATACATTAAGTTGCTTTTAATATTCCTGAATTTCTGTATTTGTTTAAATCCTCTAGAAGGGAACAGATTTTGTTTTGTTCATATGTGATATTCCACTTGAGAACCATAGTCTTGCTGGTTTATGCTTCTGTCTTTCATATTTGAGTTTGAAAATTGCCTGCAACCTATTAAGGTATAGCTCTTGAAGAGTTATAGGTAAGCAAGTTACCTGTTTGTTATCTGCTTCGGACATTTGGTGATAGCATGTTCTCAAAAACTGAAGTTAAGAGAGAGAGAAACTAGAAACTCCAGATATGTATATTGATTCTTCATGTACATATTAATAACGATAATTTCTAATCTTCTACCAGTTATACAAAGTGATTTTGCTTCATTCAAGTTATGTAAAAATCATATTTTGAAGTTATAACATCTTTTTATATAATTTCCTTCTACTTAAAATACATGAACTTATTCCAGCCTTAGAATCTACTGTCATATTTGTTTGGTTGCCAAATAACCATTTTAAAACTAGAGACATACTGTTCCCAAAATCCTTATATAATTTGGAGTAAGTTCCCTCCTAAATGTGGTGAAGAAATATTTTTTTACCCAGTATGTGCTTTTAGAGAACATTTAAAATAGCACATGTCATTTGAATGTTTACCTTTAGCCATTGCTATTCAATCGATACATATTTTATTATAACAACAATGATAGATAATTCTTAGTATCTAGCATCTAAATGCAGGGTTAGACATCATATTCTATTGTTGCTACAAAATTAAATATATTGATGTTTCATACCAAAGTATCTCTTGCAATTTTGGAAAATTGTAAGCTTCAACCCAGAATTGGTGCTTCCGTGTACTCCCCATTGAGAATACTTTCAGTTTTGCACAATCAAGATCTTCCCTCATCATGTACAATCATAAAGAAAGTATGGGAGATGGAGCGTCTAAGGTGACAAAAAAAGTAGCTTATCAGTCTCCACTCACATATATACCACTGGAATCAGAGCCTTAGGGATATTCATGGGGGGATTATATGGGAGAGGGTTAGAACTGAGGCATCTTTACTTCCATTTCCGCCTTTTTGGATTACATGGATTATATGGAAGAGGGTTAGAAGATCTGAGGCATCTTTACTTCCCTTCTGCCTTTTTTGAGCCTCTGTGAATGGCTTTTTGCCTTCTTTATCTTCCACTTTTCCCTTCTATATTCTAGTAACTTTACATTTTCTTCTGCCTATCTGATTTTTCTCTGGAAGACTTAAGGCCACAGAGGAATGGTTGGGAACTTTGTGAGAGTGTGTGATAGGTAGCAAATACTGACCCTTGGGCCAGGTGTGGTGGCTCAAGCCTGTAATCCCAGCACTTTGAGAGGCCGAGGCGGGTGGATCACAAGGTCAAGAGATCGAGACCATCCTGGTCAACATGGTGAAACCCCGTCTCTACTAAAAATACAAAACATTAGCTGGGCATGGTGGCGCATGCCTGTAATCCCAGCTACTCAGGAGATTGAGGCAGGAGAATTGCCTGAGCCCAGGAGGCGGAGGTTGCAGTGAGCCGAGATCGCACCATTGCACTCCAGCCTGGGTAACAAGAGTGAAACTCCGTCTCAGAAAAAAAAAAAAAAAAAAAAAAAAAAAATACTGACCCTTGGATTTCACAATATAGTATATGTCAATATATTTATAAGAAATCATAATGTTTGTATTGGATATAACTTAAATTCATCATTTTTTCATATTAAATGTTTAATATCTTTCTCGAAAGTCTATAAGTTGTCAGTCAATACATACACCATGTCTAAAATACTTTTTAAAGTGACTACTGCGTTTGATTGATAGTAAAGCAAACCAGGCCAGGCACAGTGGCTCACGCCTGTAATCTCAGCACTTTGGGAGGCCAAGGCAGGCAGATCACTTAAGGTCAGTAGTTCAAGACCAGCCTGGCCAACATGGTGAAACCCTGTCTCTACTAAAAATAAAAAATTAATTGGATGTGGTGGCAGATGCCTGTAATCCCAGCTACTTAGGAGGCTTGAAGCAGGAGAATTGCTTGGACCTGGTGGTGGAGGTTGCAGTGAGCCAAGATCATGCCACTGCACTCTAGCCTGGGCAACAGAGTGAGACTCCATCTAAAAAAAATAGTAAGGCAAACTAAAGCATGAGAAGAAAGAACCAGATTTTCCTATTAAAGAGTCTAATTGCAAAAAATCTAATCAGTAGTCAGCTTTGCTAAAACAACAGATTTATAATAGTTGGCTATGATAAATCCTGACTGGAATATTTAGAAGTCCTATGTCATATTAGAAAACAAGAGAACAAGGCCGGGTGCGGTGGCTTATGCCTGTAATCCCAGCACTTTGGGAGGCTGAGGCAAGGCGGATCACAAGGTCAGGAGTCTGAGACCAGCCTGACCAACATGGTGAAACCCCATCTCTACTAAAAAATACAAAAATTAGCCAGGCATGGTGTAATCCCAGCTACTTGGGAGGCTGAAGCAGGAGAATCGCTTGAAGCTGGGAGGCAGAGGTTGCAGTGAGCCGAGATCACGCCACTGCACTCCAGCCTGCATGACAGAGTGAAACTCCATCTCAAAAAAAAAAAAAAAAAAGAAAAAGAAAGAGAACTTGAGAATTAATGTGCTTTTGACTATTATAATGCCTGTTATCTATGTTTTGAAATAAGATGACAGTGAACAGTATAGGAGAGCTATCATCCACTGGATTTTTCTCGACTCAACTAATATCTGTTATGCACAGAATTGCAGTGGCTGAGGTGCTGTCTAAAACTCACTTGTGAAAGTAAACCTGGAACTGAGGATTAATCTTTTTATTTTCCTGCAAATTATTGTCAGTGCATATATTTTATATCTTTAGTTTTTACCACCGTTTTCAGCAGCAGTTCATTTAGTTCTCATATACCATTTAAATAAAATATTACTTTAAAAATAATTTGCATAAATATTGATTGAATTATATAACTTAAATGACTCAACTTTTTCTGAGACTCAGATGGTAAAAGGCATTTTGTCAGACTTCTTAGCCTCAATTTATTACTCGCATAAGATTTTTAATTTGCTGTAGTAATAATATAAATATACCAGTTTTTAATTTTATAAACTTAGTATAGACTTACGAAAATGGTCAAAATAGTTGGATCATTTATATTGTGGGGAAGTTCATTCACTTGAATTATAGGATTACAGGATGATTTCAAAAGTAGTTTCTTTTTTTTTTTTTTTTTTTTTTTTTGAGACAGAATCTTGCTCTGATACTCAAGCTGGAGTGCAGTGGCATGATCTCAGCTCACTGCAACCTCCACCTCCCAGGTTCAAGCGATTCTCCTGCCTCAGCCTCCCACGTAACTGGGATTACAGGCATGTGCCACCACACCCAGCTAATTTTTCTGTCTTTAGTAGAGACAGAGGGATGCCATGTTGGCCAGGCTGGTCTTGGACTCCTGGCTTCAAGTGATCCTCCCACCTTGGCCTCCCAAAGTGCTGGGATTACAGACATGAACCATTTGTGTTAAGTGGTTCATGAAAAATATTTTCAATGAATATTTACCACATATGTACTCTGTAGTACTCACCAAAGAGAAATATCTCTCTTTAAAACTGTGCTGGCTAGTAGAGAAAACAGACTTATAACAATTGTACTATAAGCAGTGCTGTAAATATATATATGTGTGTATGTATATATATAAATGGTATGGAGCATAGGTAAGATAATAGTCATTTATTTCTACAAGGGGAGCTGGTCAGGAAGAAGAGGTCATGTTTGGTCTGGGCCTTGAAGTATAAAAATAGGAATTTGCAAGATGGATGAGGTAGAAAATGACATTTTATATTCTGGAATAAACAGAGAGAACAGCCATTTGTCTTACCCCCAACTCCAGAACTACTACTCATGGAGTCTGACACAAACAATGTTAATGATGTTTTATTTCTCATTATAGGGCACTGGAATTGGCTGTAAAATACAAAACACATGTTGATACGGTTCTTGCTTACCGTCAAAAGTTTTTGGAGACATTTGGTAAACAGGAAACTAATAAACGATTCTTGCATTATGCAGAAGGCGTAAGTATTTTACAGTTTTTTATAATAATACATATGCTTAAAAGTATATATCGTATTCATCCTGAGACAAAATGTGAATTATTCAAATTTTGTATCTGTTAATTACTAAATGAATTACTTTTTACCTTATGACATCTTATTTTGACTATGTAATTATAGTACTGAATTTTTTTTCTGGAATCTTGCAGGCACGTTTTGATTAACTCAGGTCTGTCATCATCATATTCCGTTTGTGCTAAGGTTGGGTCCTATTTGATATTTTTAGATAAATAATATATGTGGGTGGAATAAAAGCTTCTAACTCCTAAATTTTACCTGCCACCAACTGCCTCTTCTGCTTCAGGGGAAATACATATACAGAGAGGGCAATGACCAGAAAATGCATAGTTGGTCACTTTGTAGAATTCTAGAGAGCTAGGTTGTACCTCCTAGAAGTGCCTAGCCTAGGTAGATTTCACTAGCTAGAACCAAAGAAGACTCAACCTTTGCCTCACAAGCTCCTACCAGAATCTCAGATTTTATCACTCTAGAAGAAAGTCATTCTGGATGCAGTGGTGCATGCGTGTAGTCCCAGCTACTTGGGAGGCTGAGGCAGGAGGATTGTTTGAGTCCATGAACTCAAGTCCAACCTGAGCAATATAGCAAGACCCCACCTCTAAATAAATAAATAAAAATAATAATAATAAATTTATTCCAGTAAAGATCAGCCCACAAGGAGACTCAGAATGTGTTTGCCCCATTGCCTAGACTATAACTGATTGTAGCCACTTACCCAGATTCATTTAGTTTTAGACAGCAGAAACAGAGTTCCTGTCACTAGCTATGTAGATCCCAGAGGCTTGACTCCTGAGAGCTGTGGTTACAAGACAGGGCTGACCTTTCTTTCAGTTCTGTGAACCACTTTCTTTAGTCCTTTTATTCATTCATTTATTCAAAAAATATTTATGAGATCTCATTCTGGTTACAGACCATGCTAGGGGTTACAATCAGATACAGCCTTATATGTCTCTGTAGAGCTTACAGATTATGTGGGAACATTCCTTCTTGGTATAGAATAAAATGGAATGTTCTGGTTGCTCCTAGGGGCAGAGTGGGTTAGAGGAGCCTTAGGAAGAGGAGAGAAGGTAGAGAGAAGGCACCCACAATTTCTGTTAAAGCCAACATTGTCTGCTTATCGTATTTAGAATACATAGCGTCTTGCACTTCAGAACAATTTTCAGGTGAGTCAGGCCCTTGAGATCATTCTTAGAGTTTAGCAATGCAACTTCAACATCTGGATCTAGGGTAGCTACAAGTTGTGTATTTCATGATAGAAAGGAGACATATTTTATAGAAGCTCTACAAACCTTTTTTGATTTCATTTGGAACCTGCTTAGTACTGAAGTGAATCCTGGGAATGTGGGCGTACTCTACTATTAGGGCAAACACAGCATCCCCGGGATCTCTGGGGCTATACTCTGATTCATAGTATATGACAGCAGCCACCACCAAAACAGTGCTAAGCAGCCTAGAGAATCACCAGATTACCTGATCTTTGTGTCACAGTTTTGGAAATATGGCTATATGTTAAAACTAAGCACCTACCTTGTTTATTGTATAATTTTAAAGCAGATTAAGCTGCTCTGCTGCTTCTTCCTCATTGTCATCAATATTTTTTCAATATTCACATTAGATACTTTGGAGAACATAGAAAATATAGTTCTGATCAGGTGTGGTGGCTCAAGCCTTTAATCCCAACACTTTGGGAGACCAAGACAGGAGATCACATGAGCCCAGGAGTTTGAGGTCAGCTTAGGCAACATAGTGAGACCCCACCTCTACAAAAAATTAAAAGATTAGCTAGACATCCTGGCCTATGCTTGTAGTCCCAGCTACTTAGGAGGCTGAGGTAGGAGGATCACCTGAGCCTGGGAAGTCAAGGCTGCAGTGAGTTGAGATCATGCCACTCCAGCCTAAGTGACAGAGTGAGATTCTGTTGGAATGGAAGAAAACAGAGAAAGAGAAAAAGAGAGAGAAGGAAGGAAGGAAGAAATGGAAAGAGGGAAGAAGGGAAGGAAGGAAAGTTCTTACTAGAAAGGAAATTATATTTGAGATAGCAAAAACTTAACATCCTTATCATCTTTTTCATTATGCATATATTCAACTGTTACCAAAATTTAATACTTTAATCATAAAAGTAGCAGAAATTTCCAAACTGAGATAACCAGAACAACATGGCTTTCTTAGGCATTTTAGGGTTTTTTTTAAATCCAGAAGCTATGTAGGTTACTTTGACTCCCTATGGTACTATGTTCTAGTTTCCTACTTTTCTTCATAAATGTCATTTGGAGTTAACTAAAAATCATAAAGCAGTATTTTTTTTTTTTTTCGAGATGGAGTTTTGCTCTTGTTGCCCAGGCTGGAGTGCAATGGTGCATTCTTGGCTCACTGCAACCTCCGCCTCCTGGGTTCAAGCGATTCTCCTGTCTCAGCCTCCCAAGTAGCTGGGATTACAGGTATGTGCCACCACGTCCGGCTAATTTTTTGTATTTTTAGTAGAGATGGGGTTTCACCATGTTAGCCAGGATGGTCTCAATCTCTTCACCTCGTAATCCACCCACCTCGGCCTCCCAAAGTGCTGGGATTACAGGCGTGAGCCACCGCACCCGGCCTATAAAGCAGTTATTTTAAGATGAAAATTATTTTTTTCCTTAAAAAATTCCCACCAATGAAATAAAATGTAACCCTAGGAAAATAGCTTTAGAGATATCTGCGTTACTTACTGATCATTTGGTTTCATTTAGGTCTATAATCTAGTCATGATATAGCATTCATATTTATCTATCTTTGCCACACTTATGATTATATAAACCTTTTATTTCAGAACTAAAAGTTAAATAGAAAAGGGTCACTTTTATTTTTAAAAGGTTAAAAATAACATTGAGAAATTTATTCTAGATATTTGGTGAATTTCGGTGGGCTACAATGCATACCATCTGGAAGTTTATAAATGATTGGAATCTATATAAGGGAAGAAGTTAGAAGTTTGATAGACACTTTATGAGCCCTGAAATGTTATTTCTGATTTAAAATATGACAATCTAGGATTCATACAAGGAGTACTGTTTTCTAAGAACCCTAATATTTAGAGTCATTGTACTTGGTCTACAATAGTGTTCTGTAAATATTTATAAAACAAATTGTAAATCTAGCAAAATCCATTCAAAGAATATATTCATTCTATTGCATATATACTCTGTACAGGAAGAAAAGTAGAAAATCTGGGAAATACCTCAAACATGTTGCTAGGAAAAAGAAAAAGAGTGAAAGAAATCAAACTCATGAGCAGGATTTCCTAAAGTTTAGAATTTTGAAGATCTGAGTCAACACTCTATTTAGGACAAACCACTTTAGGCTTAGCTACTACCTAAAAGCTGCTTTACAGGTTTTTAATTTGGAGGAATTGTTAATAGTGAGGAATTGTTAGCTGATTACTGATTTGCCGGGTAATTATTTGCCTTTTATTCATTCAATATTTATTGAGTGCCCCCTGCTGACAATGTTTTTTCCTTAGTGATTGGGCTATAATAGTAAATGTGACAGACACTGGCCCTGGCTTTATGAAGTTTGTATTCAAATGGAGATGACAATTATATAGTTAATTGTTCATTTCAATTGTGATAATTGCCTTGAAGGAGATGTACATGGCACTATAAGACTTTATGAATGCGGATCCTGACCTAGGGTGAGGCAATCAGCAGAGAATTTTCTAGCAAAGCACTATGATATTTGAACTCAGCTTTAGAGAATGAATAGTAGAAGCTCACTGCAGGGTAGAGGCTGGGGGTGGGAGATGAGGACAAACATGTTCCAGGCAGAGGGAAGGCTTTGAAGTGGGAAAGAGTAAAAGTAATGGAGGGATTGACTTTAGGGTTTCACAGGGCAAATTAAATAAAGAGAAGCCATTGGAGGGAAATAACATGATTACTTTTCCCTTTTAAAATCCTGATTTGGCGAGGTGTGGTGGCTTACATCTGTAATCCCAGCACTTTGGGAGGCCAAGATGGGAGGATTGCTTGAGTCTAAGAGTTTGGAGACCAACCTGGGCAACATGGTGAAACCTGTCTCTACCAAAAATATGTATGTATGTATGTATGTATATATATATATATATATATATATATATATATATATATATGTGTGTGTGTGTGTGTGTGTGTGTGTGTGTGTGTATATATATATATATATATATATATATATATATATATATATATATGTTAGCTGGGTATAGTGATGTGCACCTTTAGTTCCAGCTACTCTGGAAGTTTAGGTGGGAGAATCACTTGAGCCCAGGAGGCAGAGGTTACAGTGATCTGAGGTCATGCCACTGTACTCCAACCCAGGCAACAGAATGAGAGCTCAAAAATAAAATAAAATAAAATCCTGATCCCTGGCCAGACACAGTGTTTCATACCTGTAATCCCAGCACTTTGGGAGGCTGAGGTGGGAGGATTGCTTGAGTCCAAGAGTTTGGAGATCAGCCTGGGCAACATGGTGAAATCTTGTCTCTACAAAACAACAAAACAAAACTGGGCATGTTGGCATACACCTGTAGTTCTAGCTGCCCTGGAAGCCTAGGTGAGAGAATCACTTCAGCCCCGGAGACAGAAGTTTCAGTGAGCTGAGTTCACACCACTGCACTCCAACCTGGGCAACAGAGCAAGACTCCATCTCCAAAAAAATAAAATAAAATCCTGATTCCTGGCCAGGTGCAGTGGCTCATGCCTGTAATCCCAACACTTAGGAGGCTGAGGTGGGAGGATCGTTTGAGCCCAGGAGTTCGAGACCAGCCTGGGCGATGTAGTGAGACCTTGTCTCTATTAAAAAATAAACAAATAATCAGTAAAATCCTGATTCCTAAAAATAAATGGAAACAACATTTTTTACAAAATTATAAGATTTTGCCAGTCAGTTGAAGGTGATGATAAGAGCAAACGTATGAGTTTTTGAATGAATGAGGAAGAATCCTGAGACTGCTCTGGGCCCCGGGTGGTTGGAATACTGGTTGGGACAAGACACTGAAAGGTTTTAATAATACCAGGGTAAGAGAATAGACTTCATAATGAAGGCAATGAGAAGACTTGGAGATTTGTAGTCAAGAGAGTGACTTGAAAGATGACATCAGACGTGAAAGATAGCTTAGAGGTGAGCATAATGACTAAACTAGTTAGGAAGTTACTATAATAATCCCACCAGGAAATGGAAAGGGTAAAAAAATGTAAGAAAAATTTTACAAGTCAAATTAAGAGAACAGTTGTGGCTGGGGGTGGGAGGAGAGGTGGTGAAGTAAGACAAGGCATTTGAGAATGACTTGAGCATTTCTAGTGTGGACAGCTAATAGATGGGAATGCCATTAATCTAGATAAAGAATACATAAGAATATACATATTTTGGAACTTTGAGTATGAATACATGAAAATATGCCATTTTTTATGTGTTTAGAATATCTATTAGGTGTCCAGGAGGAGGTATCTAGAAGGCAATTAGAAATATAAATATGAACACACAAGGACGTTGACAAGGAGACATAAGGGGTAGACAACTAAATTTATTGTCTTGACCATCTAGGTATAGTTGAAGCTATGTGAATTGATATTTCTTAGGGAAGGTGTGAGAAAGCTATGGTTGGACCTTGATGAATATTAACAGTTGAAAGGTTGTTGAAGGAAACCAAAATATGGCACCCCCAAATATGCCTCTTTGGAATACATATTTTTGAGCTAAAGACAATTAAGAAGCAGCAAATGGAAGAGCTCTCTCTATTCTCCCTTTTTTCCTCCTAAAGACAGAATATAAATTCTCCTTTACTGGAGACAACTCTTGTCAGCTCAGAGACAACTCCAGAGCAATCTATAAAAAAACCTTACTCCATGGCTGGGGGTGGTAGCTCACCCCTGTAATCTCAACACTATGGGAGAACAAGGCAGGAGGATCACATAAGCCAACCCTGGGAGTTCAGGACCAGCCTGGGTAACAAAGTGAGACCTTATCTCTACAAAAAAAATTAAAAATTAGCCAAGCATGATAGCACACACCTTTGGTCCCAGCAGGAGGTCAAGGCTACAGTGAGCCATGTTTGGGCCACCACACACCAGCCTGGGCGGCAGAGCAAGACTTTGTCTCAAAAAAGAACAAATCTCACTTTATTAGGTTTTTTCCATATATTTTTATTCCCATGGTTTCCAATCTCTGGAAGCCTAAAACCTCTTTCACTTCTGTAAAAACAGTCTTGTCACATCTCTAAAATGTTTTGTTCTTTGTTGAATATGCTCTGTAAGCCAGAGTTCCAAGACACTGTTTTGAGTTACCTTTCATTGAGATTTCTCCTAATGTGATGTACATTGCACATATTATTGAACTGGCCTGTTTTTCTCTTTTTAACCTGTCTCTTGTTATAGGGGTCTATCCCATCAATAAACTTACAAGAGTTGAGGAGAAATTATATTTCTTCTCCAACATTGTTTAGGAGCAGAATATAGGGGAAAAAAAGAGAGAGAAAGAAAGAAGCAGCATTTAGAAAGGAGAGCAGGAACCAGAAAAGAGTAGTATTATACAGTCTGAGAGATTTTTCGAAGAGCAGTGGCCAGCAAGCAAGGTCCAGAGAATGCTCTTATCCCAGGGCCATGTTTTTCTCCATGTTACCATGCCCTTCCCCAGATGTACACATGGGTTCACTCACTCATCTCCTTCAAGTCCCCCCGACCTTTTTTTTTTTTTTGAGACAGGGTCTCACTTTTTTGCCTAGGCTGGAGTGCAGTGGCACAATGACAGCTCACTGTAGCCTCAACATACTGAGCTCAGTGAGTAGATGGGACTACAGATGAATGCCACCACCCCCAAAAAATAAAAATAAAAACTAAGTTTTCATATAGGCAGTTTCTCACTATGTTGCCTAGGCTGGTCTCGATCTTCTGTCCTCAAGCAATCCTCTTGCCTTGACTTCCCATCAAGTAAACTTATGACACTGCAACCTCTTATTCTATTCCTGGTGTTGACTATCTCCCTTCTGTTTTCAAAATCTTTATTGCTTCTGGCATACTAGATATATTTTTTATTTATTATCTGCCTCTTCCATTTTTCTCTCTCTTTCTTTATTATCTTTCTATGAAGACAGTGATTTTTATCTTTCTGTTCACTGGTGAATCCTTGTACCTCAGACATTCTTTGACATATACTAATCAGTGAATGTGTTGAATGAAAAATCGAATCATACAGAGAAGGTATATAGGATAAGAACTGAAAGCAGCCAATGGTGGCTTTAGTGCAAAGTTCCTAAAGTGTCATAGGATCAGAATTACAGTGGACTGGGAAGAGAATGAGAGTCAGGAATGAGAAGAAGAATGAGGGATGGTAGCTTGCAGGGAGAAGACAGAATAGAGAGGCAAGGATGATGAGAAAGCACCAGTGAAAAGGACATTGAATGTGTGAGGAATAATTGAAGTCAGATGTCCCAAAGGAGTCAAAGAAAATGGAATCAGGGACATGTGTTAGAGGTTGGCCAGAGATGGAAGAGAAAGATAATGATGGGTGTAGATAACAGGTATGTTTGTGAATGCAAGGAAGGAAAATTAAATGAACTCATACCTGATGGCCACTATATTCTCTATAAAGTAGGAAGCTGATCTTCAGCTGAGAGGAAGAAAAATGTGTTAAGAAGATGGAGAGTCTTTTGGTATGATTTTGAAATTGCTTCTAGATGAATAAGAATTGACTAACGAGTAGAATAAGGAGTGCCAGATAATACTGGCACTCCTTATACTAGCAAAAGATGGATTTTAGTGTGCAAATCACTTGACCGCTATCAGAGAACATTCTTATCTAAAATCTGCTATTAAAAATATTCTAATCCAAGAACTAAATTATCTATGAAACGCTTTTAAAACTGGATCAATGCCAAAGTGAAAGTGAAACGTTTATTTTCAGTAGGACAGCTATCCACTGACACCCTCATTTGTATTATAACAAGTAACTAATACGAATATCATCAATTTACTTGCAACAGAGCAACAGTTGTTCAGTATACTATCAATATATGGTTTTATTGTGATTGATTTGAGAAATATATGTAAGTCAATTTAAGGCTGGAAGAAAGCCAAAGCATTCATCAAGTTTTGTCTTCTCTTTGTTTTGTTAGACATAGAAATGAGTGCTTTGCCATTTTAAAAGTATCAGGTTTTGCCCTGATTGAAAAAATGAGTCTTTCAAATAATCTAACATCTGCTCAGCTTTTCAATGAGCTGTCACTTGCATCTTAGCACAGACATTTGTCTTCTATGAGTAAGAGGAATTACTTTATCAATTCATCTATTTTATGTATTATACCTAAGTATATGGAATTGTTATTTTAAATAAAGGTGAGCCAAAATATTTACAAAGTGCAGCCTTGACCTCAAGGGTTTTGTTGATTCTCCTACCTCAGCCTCCCTAAAGGCTGGGACCACAGGTGTTTGCTACCACACCCAGCTAATTTTCTATTTTTTGTAGAGATGGGACTTTGCCATGTTGCCCAGGATGGTGTCAAATTCCTGGACTCAAGCAATCCACCCACCTCAGCCTTCTGTAGTATTGGGATTACAGGAGTGAGCCACTGCCCCTGACCAAGCATTATTTCTTCTTCTTAACTTTAATGCTCTCCTTTTTTCTAATCTTTTGGAATTCATACATTCTATCTATTTACTCTTGGTTACTTTGGATTAAACAAAAATGTCTTACAATATCTAAGCATATTTCTTCTTCTTTTTTTTTTCTATTGCAGCTCCAAATAGATTGGGAGAAAATCAAAGCCAAGATCAAGATGGAAATTACGAAAGAACAAGAGCAATCATCAAACAGCCAATCCAGCAAGAATATGGGCCTAAAACTCTAAATGCCATGCTTATCTTTAAGAAGTTTTATCTTTTGAAACAAATTCTGATTAATCAAGAATAAGCATGTTTTGGTTCCTAAAGAAAAAAAAGCATAATTTATAAATAAGTACTTGCTGTGTATTTAATGTAAAAGTATATTCAGAAAGGTGAAACACAAAATAATTGATGTACTTCTTTTATATTTTTAGTCCAATAATTAGCAAAGTATTACTATATACCTAAGATATACCTGTGTAATGTTGATTATATTTCAGTTTTTTGCCTATTACTTCGTCCCTGAATCTTTAGCATGAACATATATTAATGTTGATAATAAAACATTGCACTTTTTGAAATATACGTTATGATTAATTTCTATTTGACCTCTAAATTCTAAAGTGCCTCCAAAAGTTTATTTATAGAACAAAAATACATTTGGAGGCCAGGCACGGTGGCTTACACCCAGCGCTTTGGGAGGTTGAGGCAGGCGGATCACCTGAGGCCAGGAGTTCAAGACCAGCCTGACCAACATGGAGAAACCAGCATAGGTAAGTTCATAGAGACGGAAAGGAGAACAGTGGTTACCAGAGACTGCAGGGAGGAGGAAATGGGGGGCTTATTGTTTAACAGGTACATAGTTTTTGTTTGGGATGAACAAATTCTGGAAATGGATAGCGATGATGGTTTCTCAACATTGTGAATGTTAGTGCCACTGAATTGTACCCATAAAAATGGTTAAAATGGTAAATTTTGCTATCTATATATTATCATAATTTTCAAAATATATCTAGAATGGCAAGAAGGATTCTCCTCATTCCTCTCCTGACTTGAGAATGGCCAGGCAATAAGCCCTGAAGTATTTTCATAGGTGATAAACTGTTTGATTGCTCTTAATTTAGTATGTCCCAAAGTTATTATCACATAATCTTTTAAATAATAAATACCCCTTAGAAAGTCTTCATGAACCCATTTCTGGAAATGGTACATTATAGAGTGGGTATATGCATATATATGGGATTATATATAAATATGTTACAGATACACACACACACACACACACACACACAAAGGGATAGAGGGATTACTGCTCTTAACTCCCATTTTAATTACTATGTACTATGTCTAAGTTTTTAAAATAAAAATCTTTTTCTTTTTAACATGTTTCTTTTCCTCCTGGAATATTGGAATATCCTGTTCTTGTTCCAGATGAAATCTGATTGAGCAGTATACTTTATAAGTTGTACTGTTTATATGTTTTCTGTATTGTTATCTTTCAATGAGAAGTTTAAAAATAAAAAATGGTTAAAAGGGTCTTATGTTATGTGTATTTTACCACAAAAAATTAAAAAAATAAAAAGTTTGTGTTCTAAATAACAGTTCTCTAATATCCTAGAATTCAATTCAATTCTGACACTACCTGGAGTTAGATCCCACAAGTTAAAGGGCAAGGTTCCCCAAAAAACTGCCCTTATTTTATTTTATTATTATTTATTTATTAGTTTTCTGAGATGGAGTCTCGCTCTGTCTTTCATGCTGGAGTGCAGTGGCCCAATCTCAGCTCACTGCAACCTCTGCCTTTCAGGTTTAAGCGATTCTAGTGCCTCAGCCTCCTAAGTAGCTGGAATTACAAGTGCACTCCACTGCACTCGGCTAATTTTTGTATTTTCAGTACAGATGGGGTTTTGCCATGTTGGCCAGGCTGGTCTCGAACTCCTGAACTCCTGACCTCAACTGATTCATGCTCCTCAGTCTCCCAAAGTACTGGGATTACAGGCATGAGCCACCGCACCTGGCCTAAGACTGCCCTTATTTTAGGCTCCAGCCATAATCAAGAGTCCCAGGGCTACTCACACTTGTGTCTGACTTGGCTGCACATTTAGGGGTTCCCTCGACCTCCCTTTGGTTTGATAATTTGCTACAAAGATTCACAGAACTCACAGAAATGCATTACTTCCAGTTTTATTAAAAGGACACAACTCAGGAAGAGCCACATGGAAGACTTGCACTGTCTGGGAAGAAGTTGAGGGAGGGAACATGGAACACAGAACTTCGTGTCCTCTCTTCATGGAGTCCAGGTATTTCATCATCCTAGCACTTCGATGTGTTCACCCACTGGGAAGCTCCCCGAGCCTTACTTTTCTGTTTTGTTTCTTTTTTCTTAATTAGGATTTCGTTAATTGATTAAAACATTGGCCATGCAATTGAACTCGGTCTCCTGCCTCCTCCTCTGCCCAGAGGTCTAGTGGCTTAAATTCCAATCACATGGTTAGTTTTTCTGGCAACCAGCCCCATTCTGAAGCTATCTAGACCTTTTCTCCCAGTGTAACCTTTTTTGAATAACGAAGATATTCTTATCACTCAGGAAATTCCAAAGACTTTGGAAGATCAGTGCCAGGAACCGTCCTTCAGTAGACCATATATATTCTTTGTATATTACAGACCACCTCCTTGTCTTTGACCACAGGATCTTTTGTAGCAAAAAGATCATACCTGGCTGAGCATAACTGATATTCTTAAGTATTTGCGTCTCTCCCTGTATAAGCAAAGCCCAGTCCCAAGTGCCTATTCCTGTCAGGACCCATTTGTAGCTCGCCCATGGCCACTGGCATCAGTGTAAGTTGTTCTCTGTGTGTAGGACCTTCCCCCTGGGGAATCTTCCCCCTAGCCATCTATCTGGAGTCTCTGTCTCTCTTTTTGGCAGACAGTAAAATTTTTATTGGTAATTTTTTCCTCAGAAGAGGTAAGCGGAACATGTCTACATTCACCCCTTCTATGCATTGCTGCAGCTCCCCAGAGTCATTTTATGGGCCCAGGTGGCTATGTCAAGTGAATATACTGGGTATCATCCACTCCAATCACCTTTTGATGCTGGAAGTGAGGTCCTCTTAAGAGCATTGACTTGTCTTACTTTAATGCACCCCTCAAATTCCCATATTGATTTCCACAGATTTATATAAGGGCATCTCTTTAATAGATGAATCTCCCATTGCTCTTCTGCTTGACCACATGTCCAGGCCACTGGCCACCAGCAAGGAGTATGTAGAAACCCAAACATAAGAAACAGCATGCAATACAGCCCAACAGGCTGGTTTGTGTTTGCATTCTACTCTGGGTGCAGTGGCTCATTCCTGTAATCCCAGCACTTTGGAAGGCCAAGGCAGGGGAATTGCTTGAGCCCAGGAGTTTGAGACCAGCCTGGACAACATAGTGAAACCCCATCTCTACAAAAAAGCCAGGCATGGTGACATGCACCTGTAGTCCCAGCTGCTCAATAGGGAGGATTGCTTGAACCAGGGAAGCAGAGGCTGCATTGAGCCATGATCATGCCACTGCACTCCAACCTGGGTGACAGAGCAAGATGCTGTCTCAGAAAAAAAAAAAATTATTTTTTGTTTTACATTTTTTGATCAGAGTAGTGATGTTGTCTGATCTCACTGGAACCACCGTCCATAAACCAGCCTGGGCAATATAACAAACCCCTGTCTCTACTTAAAAAAATAAAAAAATAAAAAATAAATCCTCCAAATTGGGATAAATAAAGCAGACTTTTAGGAGTCCTTTTAATGTTGGAGGCTTAGGAGGGGGTCCCATTGGTTCACCCAACCTTCTACAGTGCTATATTAAGATCTTTATTTCAACCCACCAGTGCCCGTTTTATTTATCTCATTTCTTAATAGCCATCTAAAGATTTCCACCCTGATGGAATGAATCCTTTAATTCTCCTGCGTCTTCTCATTGTCTCGTTAATTAATGTTCTTGATATCTTTATGACCCACATCAAGAAGCAGAGAAAGCAAACCTGATAAGCCTTCTCTGTTGTTGAATTCTGCAAGAGTAAGTTTACATGGGGTGCCCTTGCAAAAGGGGTCCCTTTAATCACGGCATTTACCATGACTAGGTAATGGGCACATTCAGTAGATAAATATCCTGATTATCATAAATCCAGTTTCAGTGGTTTGCATACAAAACATATCAGCTGCTTCATCTGGGCTATTTCATTTGGCAGTTATAGAGAGAATCAAAGTCCTTCTCAGGGCTTTTATTACACTTCTTACAGTGGCTTTTATTCAGTCCACCAAGGCAGCTGTTCCCTCTGGAATAACCTGCTGTGTATCTGGATCACATACAGCCTTCTATGATTGTTCCATAGTGAGCTGTGGGTACCATATCAACCCAAACATAACCTTCTGTACTGCAGCATTCAAAACCGAAGGTATTGCCCCTAAATTAGATATTCTTACAGTCCACTTTAGTAAAGATTCTTCAGGAAGCTGATAACTATTCACAAAATTAAACAGCTCCTTCACACTACACCTGCTGATTTCAGTAGTTTTTTGGGTTTGTCCTTCCTGCAACATGAAGTACCCTGTTACTGACCCAACTTTTGTTTTTCCTTCATTTTAAAAACTTTATTTAAATGGAGACTTAGTCAAATGATTGGAAAACCAATAATGAAAAATAGTTCTTCAGGGTCTTTTCCTGGTGACGCAGAGGAACACACCAAACTGCACTGGCCCTGTCGGGACAGGGCACCCTCTGGGGGCCAGGCTCAGCCCTCTGGTGGCAGGAGGTCCTGCAGGCTGTGAGCCCTCACACTCCAGCCCCCTGCCTGGGGACAAGCCCGGGCCTGCGGTGCACGAGGGGGAAGGCCACTGGCCAGCCCCTGGGCTTTGGCTCCCCTGAGGGGCACGGCCCCACGCCCTACCCAGCCATAAATATATACAGATCCTGGGCATCTGGGTGCCAGGCCTGAGGCAGAGCTGGGGTCCTGTCCCCCAGCCTGCAGCACAGGTACTCTTGAGATGGGGGATGGGGAGCTGGGGCCTGCCACACCCCTCCCCTGCCTCCCTCCTGGGGTCACTGCCCTCAGGGGGCTGCCAGCTGGCCCAGGACACTGCGCAACTGCTGTGTGCTGTGGCCCAGCTCCTTGACCCTCTCCACCATGTCCTGGGCAGCAGAGGATGATGGGTACTGCAGGGCGGAGGCCTTGGTGGTGGCCAAAATGCCGTGCAGGATGTCGCATAGCAGGTTGCTGTAGTGGGTCACCTGGCTGCGCACTTCAGCCACCTTGGCCTGCCGAAACAGTGTGTCCCGGATGAACACCAGCTTGTGGGCGCTGAGGATGACGAACTTGCTATGTGCCACGAAGATCTTGGGTGGCTGGTTAGTGGCCACAGCAGTGAAGAAGGCGTCCACGGCATTTGGTCAGCGTGGTCGGGTTGGCCTCACACTGTTCCAGATAGAAGAGCAGCAGCTGCTGGTCCCAGGGCCCCAGGCTGCCCGTCCACCCCGGGGCCAGGGTCTGGGCCGGCGTCCAGTTGGCCAGGTCGTGGTCTATGGGCAGTGTGACACCTCC